TTTTTTTTTTAATACTTCATTGAGTCCGAGTATTATCGAACCTATGTTGGGTTAGCTCTTCCAAGTAGTTTTAATTTTTTTTCCATTTCAAGATTTTGAATTCAAGAAGGGAAACAAGCTTTTTATTCCTTGAACCAATGTTTGTTAATTTTTTTTTTTAATTTGAGAAAAATGATTAAAAAAATTGATTTATTTTTTTATTGCAAATGAATTGGTAATTTTGGAATAAAAATTGAGGAAAAAAAATTATTTTTGGATTTTTCATTTGCATAGAAATTAAAAAAAAAATCATTTAAAGGGAATAGAATGATTATCATTCGATTACCGAAAAAAGAAAAGAATGATTATCATTCATCCTTCGAACTGCAGATTTGCAAGCATATGTTTCGAAAGAGTATATTTATATTGTTATATATATACCAACGGACAAATATTTCTGCAATTACTGCAGAGAAGTTATTTGTTTTTATTCCCCAAACGACGTCGTTTTAAGATTGAAATATTAAAAATTTATAATTATAAAGACTATAATAATCCTGAAATAAATTAAAATTACAAAAACATCATAATTTCCGTCCTAAAACGACGTCGTATTGGCTTACTCAGATAACTTATCTGCATTAATTGCAGAAAAAGCTAACCCATATACCAATCAAGCATTTTCCCCCTTTCTAGTTCCCCTTGGTTTTAGGAAAATACTACTTTCATTTTATATGAGATAGTTATTTCATGTTTTCTCATTTCGAAAATCGCATTCCCTCTTTTTCTTTTCCTTTTGCATTTTAATGGTGGGTGTTGGACAAGTGGCTTCAATACTCAAGAGGAGGTGAATTGAGTTTTACAAAATATTTTTGCAAAGTGCCTCCTTTGATATTTTAAAGACTATTTCTTCAATAAAGTGATTTAATAAGGAAAAATCTAAGTGTGAGAGCAAGTGTAGAGATTAACAAAGTAAGCAAGCGAATGGATAAAGACAATCTAAAGATGTAATTTCAATAATAAAGTAAAGAGGTAAAGGTTAGAGAAATTGCAAACTAGATGTATCCTGGTTCGGTCACCACCACCGTGACCTACGTTCAGACTGAAGCCGCTCGATCAATTCTTTTCACTAACTATCAAGCTTGAGGGTGCTTGACAAACCTCTACAACCTTTCAAGACTTCGGGCTCTTGATGCCTCACAATTTTTCAGTCCAAATTTATTTAGGAATTTGGTGACCTCTCAAGTATAGGGTTCACTCCCCTCTCAAATCAAGAAGTAAGATTGAGGTGATTAAAAGTGGCTAAGTACTCTCAAAGTACAGATTGCACAAATTGAAGAACTAAGAGATGTATAGCTTCAAAGGAAAGATGAGCTCAAGTGTATACAATGAGTAAAATAAGTAATCAATGAGCAATAATGAGCTAGAATGAGTAATAAAGGTTCAATAAATGATCTATGGTCGTCCATTGTTCATTACCATTGATGTGGGTATTTATAATGACATCTCATTTGAAAACTAGCCGTTTATAGTTGTTGCAGACCGTACATATCCGAATATTCGTGGGGCACATATCCAGATATTGATATCCGGATATTTTTGGTTCCATATCCGGATATTGGTATCCGGATATTCTTAGTGAAATATTCGGATATTTCACGGCAGCACCCTTTTTGTACGAATTCTGAATTTCTTCTCTTTCTAAATGGTTTCTATGACTTGTAATGCATGTTATTGGTTATGGAAATTATCGAGAAAAGTTTATATCATGTAGGTACTTCTTCCAAACCAACATTGTACATATAAAACCATTTGTCTCGACTTTTCTTCAAGGATGCATTCTTTTAAAATATATGAGCCATGAATATGTGTGATTATATTATGCTATTATGCTTACGTGCTTAAGTCATTTCAAAAACCTTTTAATGCATGTTTAACTTTGTTAGATCAAGGTTCTTTAAGCATTATATGATATGAATGACTTGAGCTCATGCAATGCTAGAATCTATACACCTTTACATATTTTCCTAAGTCCTAAATAAATATACCATTGAGATCTTGGACTTGTCTTGATGCTTGACTTGTATGATTTGATATTTGCTTGAAGCTTGATTTCTTTTGGATGTTGCTTCGTCTTTGAGCATTCTCTTTTGACTTGTTTGTTATCGTCAAAACTATGCTGACGTGGAATCATTAACTGTATCATCTTTGAGTACGTGGCAACCACATCATCACTTTGATTCTTCAATGGGTCCCACTTGGATTCTCTCTATAGTATAAAAGAACTACTCTGATACAACATGAGAGTAATATTCTTATTTTTACTACCTCCACGCTTTCATCTCACGTTTTATTATTAAGATTGATATTCTTGTTAAAACTTTCTTTGCCGACCTTATTTCATCAACACAAACAAGAATAGCGTAAGAGGCGTTTGGTTGAGGAGAAATTTTTAAGAATAATAGGGAAATGTGATTACTAGGGAAATGGTTGGAAATTGAGTTTGATAGGAAAATGTAAAAAAAGTTGTTTGGTTGAGAAAAATTTTACTGGAGAAATTAGGTAACTTTTGTAAAATCTATGTTTGACTTTTTGTAAAATATAGATGGGGAAAATAATACAACATTACGAAAATAACCTTGTACGTTTAGTATGATGAGTGCACTCTAAAATGAATTTAAGAGCATTTTGTACAATATCAATGTACGTTTGAACTTCTTATAATATTAATAGACTGTGCCTAACTTGTTTCCAATTGTCACAGAAGTTTATATATGTGTAAGCTTTTATCTTTGTCTTAAATACGTTCATTAAATCACCCATTGTTTGCTAATATTAATTATAACCAAAAAGAACTTTAATTAAATTCGGAAACAGACTCAAAAAGGATTCACGAGTCACTACAAGAAGAGGAAGAGCTTGTCTCCTACACGGTGCAATAGAATGCAGGTGAAAATGTAGTGAGATGGGATAATTTATTTTATTCTTGGAATAAAAATGCTTGTTCACAAAATCACTATTCAGCAGTGGACTTTGTTTCCATATATATATATATATATATAAAAGTGCTGAATATTAATTATTGTCACATATATACAACGGATGAAAAAGTTCTGCTCTCTGTTGTGTGTAACATTATTAATTATCGAGGAGGGTATAATGGGTGTCTTCAAAGTGTGTCAATAGTGCTTTACCCGGGTTTTAAAAAAAAATCACTCTCAAATTCGCTTTCTAAACAGTGCCGATACCTTTCTTTCTCAGGCAAAGTTGAAAAAGCCATGCAAATTACATGGATGGGGATTTGATCATAATCTGTTGAAACAAACGTTGGTTTTCTAAAAACTTTACTTCATTTGCATAGGAAAATGTTGAAAAAAATGGAACCAAACACCACCTAAGGGTTTAGTGTTTTTCTTTTTCTCCAAGAGAAATATTTCTCTTTAGTAATTTGATTGAGGGGATTTTATGCTGCTAGCATACGAAAGAGTAAGCATACAAAAAGGACGAGGATAATGCAGGAAGTCACTCGGCTAGCCTGGTGGTGAGAGGGTGGATAGTAGATGCCGGATTGGATTCCCATTGTATTCAAAAAAGAAAAGAAAAAAAGGACAAAGATATCTCGAATCAGCCAAACGCTCAGTTTGTAGCTTGAAATGAAAAAAAAAATCCATAATCACGAAGCAGATTTATCGAGTGCAATGCCGAGGAAATTTTTTCTACAGAAAAACTAGTATATAGAGTACAAGGAATATATCAAATAATGGTAGTTTAGTTGGCGTCAGATGTGAGAGTATATATTTGATCCTTTCAATATCATCTTTAGAAGGGAGGGATTTAAAGTTTGATCTCGGGACTTATCATGAATTAAACAAATCGCAAATAGATGAGTAGATTGAAATATCTATAAAAAAAAACAAGGAATATTACATTAGCACACACTATAGAGCGCTAGGAATAATATCATTTTTGTTTAGAGAAAATCAAATTACATATGGTTAAATCAGCAAATTACATTTTCTTAATAATAAATGAAAAGATGGTATATCATGGTATTCTAATAAGTTAAAATCAAAAAAAAAAAATAGTTACCAACTAACGGTAGCTCAGTTGTCGTATGAGAGCTGAGCAGATACAGGTGAGAACATGTGTTCAATCTTCTCTAATACCATCTTTGAAAAGGGTTTAAAGCCTTAATTATAAACCCGTTTCGAACAGGATTACCTCTCATAAAGCATATATGTGATTTATCAAGAAAAAAAAAAAAAAAAAAGAAAGAACAATTTAATAACAATAGCAATAGTAACCAAATTGTCACGTTTTTTAAAAAAATTTGTCTAAATGCCACCCAAACGGTATTTTTTATCAGACGACCCCGGATCCAAATTTGTGACCAGTCATAGTGAACTTGGTTAGGCCATGTGGCATGTTCCCCGTTAGTGTACCAATTTCGCTACAAGTCATAGCGAACTTAATTTAGTCAGGTTTTCCTTTTTTTGCAAATTGTGCATATGTCACGAAATCATATGCAACGAAATTCATTACTACGGATAGCAAACTTGGTACACTAATAAAAACGTGTTTTCTTTTTTTTTCAAATTGTGCATATGTCACGAAATCATATGCGACGAAATTCGTTACTATAAATAGCGAACTTGGTACACTAATAAAAACATGCCACACAGTCTAACCAAGTTCGTTATAATTTATATTAAACTTAAACACGTGGCAGTACTATAAAAACCATAAAAACTATTGTTCCCATGACATTTGAGATTATTATTTTTTGTTGAGAAATGTGGCATTTATGTCACTGTTGCGATAACGATGACTGTTTTTCCCTTAATTTAAATGTGAATTGCAATCTCTTGAAAAGAAGGAAAATAAAGTGATTTTTCCTTCTTCTTTTTAATTGTAAAAATACAAGACGAATTAATTATTATCATTATATTTAATAAAAATAAAAATGATGAAGTAAACATATATTTTTGGGAAGATAAAAATTAAAGCAGCATGGTAACGATAAGATGAAGGTGAGTATGGCCTTTCCCTCCTCATTGGTTTGGAATTATTGTATTGTGTTGCGTTGAGGAAGAGTGAATCAGATCGCGTACCGTACCACGAGTAATAGGAGCTATAGGTGAATCAGTGATCAGAATTGTGATTTTGGATCGAAATAATGTTTAAATTCCTGAAAGAGGTGGTGGGTGGATCTGGAACGGGCCTTAAGGATCTCCCATACAACATTGGCGAACCTTACCCTTCTGCTTGGGGTTCTTGGGTTCATTACCGCGGCACCTCCAAGGTAACTCACTCTTACACTCTTACTCTTACTTACTTATAATATCTATCTATATGTTAATGTTAATGTTGGTTGATTTAATCTTATACTTGATACGAAACAATCAATACGTTTTTATTAAATGTTAACTTCAATTTGGACACTAGGCCTTGCTAATTACACGTTGATTTGGTTTTGGTTATTGTTTCAGGATGATGGGTCTGCTGTGTCAATCTTCTCTCTATCTGGGACCAATGCTCAGGACGGACATTTAGCTGCGGGTCGTAATGGTGTGAAGCGTCTACGCACTGTAAGCTATGCTATATCATCTAATGTTTGCTGTTACATTTCAATTTCTGTATTATTATTTTTTTTCTTCTTGTTTTTAATGGTGCTCTTTTTCAGGTTAGGCATCCAAATATTTTGTCATTTCTTCACAGTACCGAGATCGAAACTCATGATGCTGGTTCTCCCAAGGTTACAATTTATATGGTAACCGAGCCTGTAATGCTACTGTCAGACAAGATTAAGGAGTTAGGTCTTGAAGGTACACAGAGGTATCAATGGAGCTCCTGCTTCATATTGCACATAATCTCCAGTTTAATGCCTTTGTTTCCGGTGGCGGACCCCGGATTTTTATAATAGGGGCGAAAATAAAATATTTAAAATTGTAAGTATTATAAAGACTAATAGGAGATACTAACTATTATAAATATTTTTGAGGAAGAGGCTAACTATTAGTACTAATAGCCTATTATTATTAGAAAAATATTATTTTATACATAAATTTAGGGAGGGGCGACTGCCAATGCTAGCCCCTCCCTGGGTCCGTCTCTTTTTGTTTCCTATTAGGCTATGAGAAATATTATATGTAAGTTACAGAGCATGAGAGCAAAAGCTTTGATTTTACTGTTGAGCTCGAGTATCTATTGGTTTCTTAACTGAGTTAGTATTTGCTTGTTATTGTGTTCCTTACTGGGGTTGTAGGGATGAATATTATGCTTGGGGCCTGCATCAAATAGCGAAAGCTGTGAGCTTCTTAAATAATGATTGTAAACTTGTGAGTATTCATGAGCCAAATATGGTTTTTTATTGCTCATTACTTTCTTTTTCAGTTTTTCTTGACAAACTTTGTCTGGTGCAGGTTCATGGTAATGTTTGCATGGCTAGTGTTGTTGTCACGCAAACTTTGGACTGGAAACTCCATGCTTTTGATGTTCTATCAGAGTTTGATGGGAGTAATGAAACTTCGTCTGGGCAAATGCTGGTAATTTTGTGTTTGGTTGGAATACCTTGTTTTCTTGTTAGCTTTAGCATTTTGCTGTGAACTTTTATTTTTCCTTTTTCTTGAAGTTCAGATATTAGTAACTCATCCTAGTGAAATAATCACTCCACATACGGTGAAAGTTCCTGGGTATGAGGTTAAAAGGTCCTTTTAACTCATCAGCAGACTGAAGTGTGATTTTAAAACTTTTCCTCAAGTTTCAGCCATGTGTTGCTTCACTTTACTGGTCTTTTTTAGCATTTGAGGCTGAGCATCTATCTTTACAACATTCATTGCAACATTGACTGACATTATGGAAGCTCCCTTGTAAGGAGTTTTTTCTGGGTCATCTTGCAAAGATTTAATTAGGCCTTTTTATTTTTGAAAAGAATAAAAGGATATCAATTAGTAAATCCTAATATATATTCCTCACATGTTTTCGATTTAGCAATATGCATGGCTTGTTGGAGCACAATACAAACCAATGGAGCTTGTAAAATCTGACTGGGCTGTAATTAAGAAGTCTCCTCCATGGGCCATTGATTCTTGGGGCATGGGTATGTTATTTTCCGTTCCTTTTAATTATAATGCATTGCGATGGCAATTTGGAATATAAGGTGGAATGGAAAAACGGAACATTCTGGTATTGTTGCATTTTTACTTGGTTGCTGATGGTGACATTTCACGGCCTTTTATTGTCTAGCCTAGTCAACATGGTTGTATCAAGTGGCCATAACTTATATTATGGAACTTGTTCTCATTTAGAGCTGGCTGCTTCCACAAAGAGGAACAAATAAATTTAACTTATAGTTTGTGAAATTACATTAGTTTTCTTGCTGTCAGAGATATAAAAAGCAATTTTGAACCTTCACCTACCATCTTTAGGGAGAGCTGGTCCTTGATATGGTATCATAATTTCTATGACAAGATAGTTACGAGTTCAGCAAAGGTAGAGTGAGCTTGTACAATATTTGCACTTCAAGCCCAAAAGGTTCTTTCGTAAGGGGATATGTTAGTGATATAAAAACCAATCTTGAACTATCACCTAACAATTTGAGCTTTTGAGAGAATTGATATTTACAGTTGTTTACATAATGGAGTGCAATTAGTGAAACTCCCTGGCCCTCTTATTCTTGCATATTGGGTATGTTTCTTCTTGCTCTTTTTGTTAAGAAGGGATCAGAATGTCAATTGGGGTTCTTAAGGAAGAAGGAAATATTCTTAAATCTGCATTTGCATTATGTTGCTGATAATGGCCAATCCCCTTCTTTCCAAACCTAGTAATTTGTATGCATTTCAAAATTTGATGTTTACATATTTTGTTTAACCTTTTCTCTCGCATAAATTTTCTTTAAGAATATGTTTATATATTAAAAGAAATTTGCTACCTTTTTGTCTGAGTTAGTAATTTTAGTTTAAATTATGAAAACTTGTACAGATGTTATAGATTCACAGACTAATTTTTATCCTGTCTTTTTTCATTTTTTTCTCTTTCTAAGTAGACCTTTCTAAATCACTAAAAATTCTAATTTTATAGGTTGTCTAATCTATGAGCTATTCTCTGGTATGAAGTTGGTGAAAACTGAGGAGTTACGCAACACTGTCTCCATTCCCAAGGTCAGCCTGCTTAGGAATTTAATCTGTTTGTTTTTCTATTTATTATGTGTATAAAGATTAAGGGAGGTTTTGGTCTGTAAGTTGCTTTTATATCTCATTCTGATGAAATATTCATTCTTCATTTCTGTATGTGTTTTTCTCTCTCTTTCTTACAGTCTTTGCTTCCAGATTACCAGCGGCTACTAAGTTCCACGCCTTCTCGTAGATTGAATACATCAAAGCTTATAGAAAACAGTGGTGAGTGCTTCTTAATATTTTTATAGGTGTCATTTATAGAAATTTTGTTTAACTTAGCATTGTTGAAGTTTTGCACTTTTACTACTTTGTTTGAAGAATTCATGATCAGTTGTAAAGGAGCAAAAAGAATATCCGCTTCAACAATCTACAACTCATTCTAAATGTTTTCCTTTCTTGTTTTGATAGTCATAATTTTTTGTAATCCTGATATAGTTTCTCTGCATTCCTTTCCGTGTATTTAATTTGAGTTTATTGCTAATGGATGTGCAGAGTATTTTCAAAATAAGCTGGTAGACACAATTCATTTCATGGAAATTCTCAGTTTGAAAGACAGTGTTGAGAAAGACACCTTCTTCCGCAAGCTTCCAAATTTAGCAGAGCAGCTTCCTCGTCAGATTGTGTTGAAGAAGGTATGTCACTTTGGAAGTTCTAATTTTAAACTTTAATCTGATAAACATTTTATCCCATTTGATTATGTCGTTCATTTTTGGTTTTCACAGTTACTTCCTTTATTAGCTTCTGCCCTTGAATTTGGTTCAGCTGCTGCCCCCGCCTTGACTGCATTGTTGAAAGTGGGTTCCTGGCTTTCAGCTGAGGAGTTTCGTGTCAAGGTAAATAATAATTTCAGTCCTTTCATGATGATCTTTTTCTTCTTTCTTTCAGTGTGCTTAATTAATACACTCTCGCTATCTTACTATAATCAGGATTCATCTCATGCTTGTATTGGATTTCAATATTTCATATTTAGGTTCTTCCAACAATTGTTAAACTCTTTGCCTCCAATGACCGAGCTATTCGAGTTGGCCTTCTTCAACATATTGATCAATATGGAGAGTCATTATCAGCACAAGTTGTTGACGAGCAGGTACGTAGTCAAGATAAGATTGTTTAATTTCTTTACTTCTTTTTTCTGTGTTGTACAATACAAAGAGATTCATGCTAACAATGTGGATACTGTGCAATTATCATTGACACTTATGATCAGGTTTACCCTCATGTTGCTACTGGATTCTCTGATACATCTGCTTTTCTGAGGGAACTTACTCTCAAGTCCATGCTAATTCTGGCTCAGAAGGTATGTATATTTTATATACATGTTGGCAAATTTTTCTTTCTTGTTGTCAAATGTTTATTTTAAAAACGAGAGATGTTATTGGCTTAATGAGAATTTTGGACACATGAAATTTGTTATACTGTTATATGGCTAGTACTGGGCTTTTGGTGTTTACATAGTATATATGACCTGGTTATTGCAAAATTTATATTAGGGCCTGTTTGGAGCACCTGACAAAGCAGATAGGATAGGATAACTTATCATATCCTACTTTTATCTTTTGTTTGGTGGGTCAATAGGATATGATTAGCTTATTCTATTGTCTCATTTTATCCTATCCAATACAGGATTTCTTATCCTATGGGGGGAGCTGGGTTAGGATTCAACAAGATAGGATATCAATATTGGATACCTAATATATCCTCACGCTATCCAATATATCCCCACGCTACCCAATATATTTGTATTTATTGCATTATATTTTATTTTTTCTTTCTCCTCTCTCCTTCTACATAATCTTATCAGATTGCTATTCAGGTGCTCACCAAACACAGGACATGATATAAGCTTATCAGCCCCATATCATATCCTACCTTTATCAGTTCCATATCATATCCTACCTTTATCCTATCCTGTTCACCAAACGAGCTTTTAAAGTGATCTCCGTACTATGTAAGCTTTGATGGAAGGTATAATGTAGAACACATTTCTTAATTATGCATATTTAAGGTAGAATTAAATGAATTAATATTAGTGATATTACTGATTTGGGCCAAGTTCTAGTTAGATCTAACATGATATTGTAATATTGTATGCCTTGGTGTCTCAATGATCTTAATGGATTGTTTGAGGGGTGGGATGGTGCTTTGAATATTAACCTGTCTAGTTAAACAGAGGTCTGGCTTGTGTCAGAGCTTGGGAAATAGCATGACAGAGCTGTTATTGCTCTTAGAACTACCTTAGTTGGTTTTTCAATATGTATTCGAATAAATGCTTTCTAAGATGCTCAGATTTAGTTATTGGGTTTAAACTTCAAATAAGGTTTGCTTCTGATTCACATTTATAATGCCAAATGGTCATCAAATTCTGATTGGTTCTTAAAATTGTTTTTTGATATTTGATAAAAGAAGAAATTCATTAATACAAAGAGAAGGGAGGATAAGGAATCCTCCTACAAAAAAGAACAAAACAGTAAAGTACCAAGAAATAAAGAAATTCAAGGGAACAAAGCTGCGCAATCCCTCAATATATATTGTAAAGAACCAATTCAACTCAAAAGCTTAAGCTATTAGGTGAAGGCTTTTTTAATGGTTTATATTATACTCCAACATGCCCCCTCTCACGAGATCCTACTGGGATTGGATGGTGGATAATGCACAGGCCCACCTATCTGTGCTAAAAAACTCCACAAGACTTGATTAATTATTAACACCGAGGCTCCGATACTATGTAAAGAACCAATTCAACCCAAAAGTTTAAGTTATAAGGTGAGGTCCTTTTTAATGGTTTATATTATACTCTAACATATATGTTGGTGAACCCCGTTAGAAAGGCTATGTGCTTAAAAGCTTAAATCCTTTATCTTCACTGTTTCTTTTCTTCCTTTTTCATCTCCCAATCTTCTCTTCTATTTGATGAATTTGCAAGAGTTACTTGTTTGTTTGTTTATTTATGGGAAATTGTTTTCTCCAGCTGTAGGAGATAACAATCTTATGTCACAGAGACATAGGAACACATGCCTGCATTTTCTTTTTTTTCTTTTTTTCTGTAGCTTGTGGGCTCCACATTTCTTGTTAGTGCTGGAAAAAAAACATCTCTCATGTTAAATGAGAGAAGTATTGCCCGTTATTTGTTTGTAACAATGTTTTTTATCTCATAATTGCAGCTGTCTCATAGGACCATTTCAGGGTCGTTATTAAAGCATCTGTCAAAGTTACAGGTACTGCGTCAACCATTAATGTGTAGGGAATTAAAGGCTAATTGCTTCTGCTGACTGAGGCAATGAAGAATAAGCAAGCCTTACTTTTTGCTTTCCATTAATAATTTACACTCTATTTTAAGTTGTAAAAATGGAGGCATTTTAAGGGTAATTTTTTTTTGGGGGGGTTGGGGTGGGGGGAAGGGTTGTTGGGCTGATGAGAAAGGCATCTTCTTTTCTGGTTGTCCTTTTCTAAAATGTATAAATTCTGATATTTGTTTTGTAGGTTGATGAAGAACCAGCAATACGAACAAATACTACCATTTTATTGGGAAATATTGCAAGCTACTTAAACGAAGGGGTATAATCAAATTATATCTGCAAGTTCAAATAGTTTGGTATATTTTATTTAATGATGCTAGCATCCGTTCATTGGTGAATTAACTCTTCATAGCTATTTTGCAGACAAGAAAAAGAGTGTTGATTAATGCATTTACGGTCCGTGCTTTACGTGATACTTTTCCACCTGCTAGAGGAGCAGGTATCAGAATCATGCACATCTATCTATTACTCTTGTTCTTCAGTTTTTCTGTTGGTAAATTCTTCGAAAAGTATTTTCTTATCATTTTAAATTTTGATTGTTCAGGCATTATGGCTTTATGTGCCACCAGTTCATATTATGACATCACTGAAGTTGCTACTAGGATTCTTCCTAATGTTGTTGTACTCACAATTGATCCTGACAGGTTATATCTTGCAGTTGGTTTATTATTTTCTAATATCCCCTTAGCTATTTGTAGATGAGGAGTTCTCTAGTAAATTGATTTATCCCACTAATTAATATACGGGTTGACTCATTTTTTTTCAAAATAATTTACTTTTATTCTTGCTTAATTCCTTCTTCTTTTTTAAAATTTTTAGTATTAGAATATTGGAATCTTCATGATAGATGTTCTTCTGTATGAGTATTTATATTGGTGCTATGTGCTGCTTTGGTTGTTTTGCAGTCTTCAGATTCCAAATAGAGATCATTCTTGTCATTATACCTTTGGTTATATCTCATTTTTCAAGGTAGTAATTATATGTTATTCTTATCATGGTTCAAACAGTGATGTTCGTTCTAAGGCATTTCAAGCTGTTGATCAATTTTTGCAGTTGGCAAAGCAATATTATGAAAAGGTATACTCTGGAATTCTTTTTGGCTGTTACTCATCCATATTATGGTTCTTAATTGAATCTGCATGTATATCTTTCAGAAGAAATTAGATGAAAGTTTAGAATTATTATTATTATTATTAATTTAACTAACTTCTGATTTCATATAAGTAAGTCCACCCATATATATCAAATTGGATTACACTCTCTTTAGAGTAGTTTAATCTTTTAGTCTATTCTCTCTTAAATGAAAAGAATGACACATGTCATTCTTACTTTCTCTTTTTAAATTTGAATTCAAATTCATTTGAATCAATAGCTTTATAATATTTTTCATTTTTTCTCTTTGAATTTGTTTTTTTAGATTCTACAAATTAATTATGCATATCTCCCTTATAATTTTAAACATTTTTTCTTTTTTTTATATTTTTAATTTGTACCAAATATAAAAATACCCTTGCAATGTACGGGATACTTGTTAGTTCTTGTTTTTTTTTTTTGAAAGCAAACAGGAAACAGAAAAACAAAAAAAGAAACTAGGGACACCTCCTAGACCAAACTACTCCTACATAGTCCCTTTCAAGTTTGTCACGACAACCAGAAGGAGGCGAGTCAAACTCTTGTAAAGACCAATCAAAGGAGTAGGCAAAAGAGGCCATCCAATCGGCAACCCCATTCCCTTCCCTATGAATATGGGAAATTCTAACCCTCCAATTCCAATCCAGCATATTCCTTATGCGCAAGACCAAGTTAGACGCTGGATGATGAGAGCTGCACCCTTCTCTTATGAAAAACTGGGCTACTAAGGAATCACCTTCAAACCAGACAAAACGGAAACCTTTCCTCCATGCAATCTCAAGCCCAAGGAGACAACCCCAAAGTTCTGCTAACAAAACATTACCACAACCAAGATTTTTACAAAAGCCAACAAGCCACCTTCCACTAGCATTCCTAAATACACCCCCACAAGCAGAAGCTTCTCCATTATTCATACTTGACCCATCCACATTGAGCTTAACCCAAGGGTCCGAAGGAAAAACCCAAGAAACTAATTTCTCTTTATTCGAGTTAGTCTCAAGACCAGCAACCCGAAGTGTGTTTTCTGACCAAGAAAAATCTTCACCATAGACCATAGCAGCTCTAAAAGTGCCATAAGCAGGAACAGAAGATCCCTGAAAAATTTTCTTATTCCTAGCTTGCCAAATGAAACAGGAAATGATACCAAACAGAAGAGGCCATGATGGCAAATTGGACCAATTACGATCCTCAGAGATATTGGACAACACCCATTGCTGAAGATTAAGAGAGAAAAAAATCCTCCCAAGCCTCTCGCTTAACTGCAATCTCCCACGCTTTTTTTGCTGCAATACAATCTCTAACCGCATGTAAGGAAGTTTCCGTAAAACAATTGCACAGATGACATATATCTGAACCCGCCATGTGCCGTCTGCAACGCCTTTCATTTGTCAAAATTTTATCTCCTAACAACAGCCAAAGGAACGTACGAATCCGTTCAGGTCCATGCCACTGCCAAACGCGATTCCAAGGTAAATTGGTAGATTCCTCGTTACCCCTGGATATGGCCATATAAGCGGACTTCAGCGAAAAACTCCCATCAGATGTCCTTGTCCACAAAATTCGGTCATGACCATTAACATCCGAAGGAGGAAGGATGTTATTAATACGAGCATTGACGTGATCGGGAAGACTATGCTGGAAAGCCCCCCACATCCAACTTCCGGAGGATGAGACAAGATCAGAGACCATTAGCTGATAATTTATCTGAGAGGGATCAGAAATAGCAGCATAGGATGAGAGTGCACCACAACCCGGAACCCACGGGTCATCCCAAAAATGAGTAGAATTTCCATTACCTAGCAAAATTCTGGAATGCTGTAATATCACAGGCCAAGACGAAACAATTGCTTTCCAAAGAGAGGAGCTATTCCGAGTAGCAGAAATATTAGGAACCAAATCAGACTGAACTTTATACTTGCTCTTTAAAACTCTAGCCCAAAACTTTATCCTTTACACGTCATCTCTAGTTATACAGTTTTACGAATAATGTCCTTTGTTAAATTTTTTGTTGATAAAAAAAACATTTTATTTTAATGAAATCTCTTGTGTGAAGAAAACACAATCATTCCTCATGTTTTTTAGGGTTCTCCCCTAAGGCCCGAATCCCATTATACTGACAGTTAGGGATGATCTGCTTGGGTATACAGATTAAGGTACATACATTATCCAAAAAAATAAAAGTACGGCAAAAGGTTGAAGTGATGGGAAATTATTGGGTATTTGACATACATTATCTATCAGACAAATTTGAGAAAAACCTAATATTAAAAGTTTAAACAATTTATATAGTTTACTGTTCTAATAAATTAAGGAAGCCCGGCTTATGTGGTTGGCCTATTTGATGGTGATAATTTGTTGTTTCCCCCTTTTATTGGTGATTTGTGATACTGATGTTTATGTTCTTGTTTGTCTTTCTGTTATAGACAAATACAGCAGACGCTACTGGGGGTGCAGGCATGGGAATCTCATCAATTCCAGGAAATGCAAGTTTACTTGGGTAAGTCAGTCCAAACTTTGTGTGGCCAGGCATTTTACATGTTAAGCAATAAAGGGAGAGCAAGAGTGTTAACATGAATTTTTTATATTAGATAATTTAGATCACAATTATTCAAGAGGAGGTTCCATTTTTTTTCTTTCCTACATTAGTGTTTTAATTAAAAATGCACAGAATAATACCTAATTTTTGATTTCTTGTCTACCTTTGTATTATGAGGAGTTTTCTTTAATGTTGTGTCTCTTGCAATCTAATTTTAAAAACTTGATTTAGTGGCCACATACAAATGCATATAAATTAGGAGGGTTGCAGATAATTACAGAGTGGATAGTAATGATCAGAAGCTTGCATTTATGACTTCTTATTGGTAGTATACGTGCATTCAAGCATGCATACGTGGGTTTGCATTCTACTCCAGGAAAGGTACTTAATCAGTTGCAAAAAATAACACCTTAGGGTGCCTGATTTTCTAGTTGAGCTTCAGTCCTCTTTAACTGCACCTGTGCTGCTGAGCAGTTTCTCCGCATTTAACCCATGCTTACTTAACTCTCGTTACTATGCAGATGGGCTATGAGCTCTTTGACCCTTAAGGGTAAACCTTCTGATCATGCTCCAGTTCCTTCTGTGAGTTCTAGTGCACTTACTCCAACATCTTCTAATGCCAGCTCAGGTATGCCTAATGATCAATCTCTTAGTTATTTTAAATCTGATTTGCTTGTTGCATATTCATCTCAATATGTGATTAAATCTTCCCCTCCCCATTTTGGCCTGCTTTGCATCAAGCTCTTGATCAATTTTTATTTTCACGACTGAACATCTAAAAAGTGTAGCATGGGTTCAACCACCAGATCATCCATATAACTTTAAATGCCATTAATGCTTTGTAGAAAATTAGAATTCAAACATGTTTCCGTTTTTATTTCCTATTAATTAGGATTGATTATGATTGATTAGGATTGATTATGATTGATTAGGATTAATTGTGATTGATTAGATTGATTGTGATTAGGATTGTGATAGGATTGATTAGTCATCGCTTAGTCATTCTTAGCGATTCTTTCTTGTATAAATACTCACTCATGTAATTTATTCAATATCAATATACAAAAACTTCTTTTCAATATAGTATCAGAGCGGGTTCGTTCCTACCCTAATTCAAATCTGAAATAACCATCCAAACACTTCCATCACCGTCAAACACCTCCTAAACACCGCCTTGAATCTGTCCAACACAGAAACCTAGTTTACTGACCTCCGATCAAAAAAAGTGAGGTGACCATTCGACTCAGAAGGATCCGACGAGTCGACCGCCGCTGGACCCATCGCCGTCAGCCGCTGCACGCGCCACCACGCGCCGCCTTCCAGACGTTTTTTTTCCGTCGCGACTTGCACAGACCTTCTTGCCGGCTTCTCCCCTTCCTGTTCCAGAGGTCAGATCAAAAGTTTACAAAACTTGATTTTTCATCAACGGTCAACCCTTCTCTTTTTATTCATGGCTTCCTCAAAACACTCTTTTTATTACCACGAGCAACCTCCTAAGGCCATTAGTCATGTGGTCCAGCAAGGTACAACTTTCCATGTTGATAGTCAAAATCATTGGATCCTTGATTCTGGAGCCTCTGATCATATGACAGGTAATCTTGGCTTGTTTTGTTCATACACTCCATATTCTGAACCTTCTCGGGTCAAGATCGCCGATGGCAGTTTTTCCCAGATTGCGGGACACGGAACCATTAAACTTTCTGAGCTGATTACTTTGACATCAGTTCTTTATGTTCCTTCTCTGACTTGTAATCTCATTTCCATTAGCAAGCTCACCTCTGAGTTGCATTGCTTTGCTAAATTCTTTCCACATGGTTGTGTTTTTCAGGAACAGGACTCGGAGAGGATGATTGGCAGTGCTAGAGAGGATGGTGGACTTTACTACTTTGAGGAGGATGTGACTCATGAAGCTGTTTTCGTAGAAAAAAACTCTATGTTTCCTTTTGATTCATGTAATGATGTTATGCTGTGGCATCGTAGGCTAGGCCATCCAAATTTTATTTATCTTCAGAAGTTGTTGCCAAACTTATTTATTAATAAAAGTCCAAGTTTGTTTTCTTGTGATATTTGTCAACTTGCCAAGCATACTCGTGCTCATTATCCTTCTAAAGTTCACCATGACTCTTCCCCATTTTCCTTAATTCATAGCGACATATGAGGTCCAGCCCGTGTTAAAAATATTTCAGGTACTCGATGGTTCATTACCTTCATTGATGACCATTCTCGAGTTTGTTGGGTGTATCTTCTAAAGGATAAGTCCGATGCTGCATCCGTGTTTAAAAAATTTCATGCCATGGTTCAAACCCAATTCCAAGTTGCTATACAAATTCTTCGTACAGATAATGGCAAAGAGTATTTTAACTCTATTCTTGGAGAATATCTTTCCCAACATGGCATCCTTCACCAAAGCTCGTGTCCTGACACACCCCAACAAAACGGAGTTGCGGAAAGAAAAAACCGACATCTCCTTGAAGTTGCTCGGGCTCTTATGTTTACCACGAGTGTTCCTAAATATCTTTGGGGAGAGGCAGTTCTCACTGCCTCGTATCTGATAAATCGAATGCCATCTCGCATTCTGAAATTTCAGTCTCCTCTTTCTAGTCTTGTTCGTATCTTCCCTTCCTTCCGAGGTGTCTCCTCCTTACCTCTCAAGTTATTTGGTTGTGTTGTATTTGTCCATATTCCCTCCCATCAACGGTCTAAGCTTGATCCTAAGTCTCTCCAGTGTGTCTTTATTGGTTATTCTCTTACTCAACGTGGCTATAAGTGTTATTCACCCTCTCTTCGTAAGGTCTTTGTCTCTATGGATGTCACTTTTTCTGAGAATGACCCTTTCTTCCCCTCGACTTCTCTTCAGGGGGAGTCTATAGGAGTAGATGAAGATCAGTCATGGGAACCTATTAATGCCACAATATTACCTCTACTTTTGGAAACAGGGGGAGCTACAGAATCCTCACCATCAGGAGCCTCCTCAAAATGGGGACAAGTTTATAGCAGGCGAAAGCCTCCTCAAAGTGTGAATAACCCAGAGCCTCTACACTGCCAGGATTCTGAACCATGTTCTAGTTCCAGCACCCCAATACTTGAGTGTCATGGTGAAAATGATCTACACTTGCCCATTGCTCTCAGAAAAGGTACTCGATCTTGTACTACTCATCCTATTTCTAATCATATTTCATATGGAAAGTTGTCCCCAGGGTTTCGTGCTTTCAATACTATGTTGGATAATACAAAGATACCGAGAAATATACATGAGGCTCTCAATGATAAAAAATGGAGGGATGTTGTCTTTGAAGAAATGAATGCTTTAGAAAGAAATGGAACTTGGGAGATAGTGACCCTACCCAAAGGAAAAAAGGCAGTAGGATGCAAATGGGTGTTTACAATAAAATTCAATGCAGATAATAGCATCAACAGATACAAGGCAAGATTGGTTGCAAAGGGTTTCACTCAGACTCATGGGATAGATTATCATGAGACTTTTGCTCCGGTTGCTAACGTCAATACCATCCGAGTTCTCTTATCTCTTGCTGCCAATCTAGATTGGCCTCTGCAACAGTTAGATGTGAAGAATGCATTCCTAAATGGTGACTTACATGAAGAAGTCTATATGGATCCTCCACCTGGTTTTGAAAAGGGAAATGGATCAATGTGTAAACTAAAAAAGTCTCTATATGGATTGAAACAGTCTCCCAGAGAATGGTTCGACAAATTCACACAAGCAGTCAAAAGAAGAGGCTTCATTCAAGCACAGACTGATCATACTCTCTTCCACAAACACTCTAAGGATGGTAAAATTGCTATTCTTATTGTATATGTAGATGATATAATTCTTACAGGTGATGATATTGAGGAATTGAACACCTTGAAGAAATAACTAGCAGCTCAATTTGAACTCAAAGACCTTGGCACTCTCAAATATTTCCTTGGTATGGAAGTTGCTAGGAGCAAAACAGGTATCACTCTAACACAAAAGAAATATGTTCTAGATCTTTTGTTGGAAACAGGAATGTTAGGGTGTAAACCTGCTGAGACACCTGTGGAACCTAATACCAAGTTAGGTATTGAAGATGGGAATGAGGTGGATAAAGAACAATATCAGCGATTGGTTGGTAAACTAATCTACTTATCTCATACGCGTCCTGACATTGCCTTTGCGGTGAGTATGATTAGTCAATTCATGCACTCACCCAAGGAGAAGCATCTTAGTGCAGTCTATAGGGTGCTTAGATACCTCAAGAATACTCCAGGAAGAGGATTATTCTTTAAAAAGGGGTATAAAAGGACAATTGAAATCTACACTGATGCAGATTGGGCAGGCTCATCAGTAGACAGAAGATCTACCTCAGGCTATTGCACCTATGTGTGGGGAAATCTTGTTACTTGGAGAAGCAAAAAGCAAACAGTGGTTGCAAGAAGTAGTGCTGAAGCAGAATTTCGAGCTTTAGCTCATGGAGTTTGTGAAGGAATCTGGTTGAGAAGACTTCTTCAAGAGTTGAAGATTTCATATTCCCTACCAATAAAACTATATTGTGACAACAAGGCAGCTGTTAGCATTGCTCAAAATCCTGTGCATCATGATCGAACAAAGCACGTGGAAGTTGATCGTCACTTCATCAAAGAAAAATTAGATGATGGAAGTGTGCATTTGATATATGTTCCAACCAAAGAGCAAACGGCAGATGTCCTTACCAAGGGCCTACACCGTCCAGCATTCGAAGACTTGATTGGCAAGTTGGGAATGATCAATATTTACCTCCCAACTTGAGGGGGAGTGTAGAAAATTAGAATTCAAACATGTTTCCGTTTTTATTTCCTATTAATTAGGATTGATTATGATTGATTAGGATTGATTATGATTGATTAGGATTAATTGTGATTGATTAGAATTGATTGTGATTAGGATTGTGATAGGATTGATTAGTCATCGCTTAGTCATTCTTAGCGATTCTTTCTTGTATAAATACTCACTCATGTAATTTATTCAATATCAATATACAAAAACTTCTTTTCAATATGCTTTTGTAACCAACTTCAGTCACTCGTAGTCTCGCACTTATTTCACTGGAATATTGCTGCCATCCCTAATGAACATTTGAGTGGTAACTGGTAAATACAAAATCCACTTTAGGAATGACAAATGTATGCGTTGGTGTTGAAAGAAAGGAATCTTCCTCTTGATTAATGAAATCACGAGGAGAAAATTGAGCACCAGCTCCTATTATGAGATGAAGCCAGCAAACAGTGGTGCATCAACCTTGGGTCATTCCTCTCTTGTACCTTTTGATCTTCAGGTCTAGTGCACCACCTTCTCCATGTTTAGAGACAAAAGCTGCTTCTTTTGGATGAAGGGACTTGAGGTCATCAAAATCTATACTCCGCAAGTTCTTTATGAAATAGCTTGTCTTACTTATCGGGGCCCCAAAAAATCAAACTAACTGTACCTTGGTCTGATTTTGTCTTAATTATGAAGAAAAATAAGGAGAAGAAAACTGAGAAACTGTGAGGGGAAGGCACACCTAAAGATGTCATCCCTCGTCTCCCTATCCACCCTTGAGGCAAAGCTATTAATTCTGCTCCCTTATCTGATGATCTGTTGATACTGCCTTTATTTGTTCTGCTTCATTCGGATGGCTTCCTTCTATGAGTAAATTTTTACAATTTCACTTATGTTTATTTCATTTCTTTTTTGGGTATTCTAGCTATTGATACTCCATCAACAGCACCTATCCGTGTAAGCTCCGCACCAGATTTTGCTGAACATCCTGTCCCTACCTCCCCTACATCAACGGATGGCTGGGGGGAACTGGAGAATGGAATCGATGAGGAGCGTGAAAATGACAAGGATGGGTGGGATGATCTGGAACCACTTGAAGAAACAAAGCCAACTCCTGCTCTTGCAAATATTCAAGCAGCTCAAAGACGGCCTGTTTCTCAACCTGCTTCACAGACAAAACAAGGTATTAATTATTCAACTGTTAGTCTTTTGGTAGGGATTTCCTCATTTCCATGACTGCATGTTCCTATAATAATTTTCGGATGTCAGATTGAAAGTTATTTATCTATGTACTAGAATAAAAAAGTGTATCTTGATGCCTATGATTAATGACAATATCCTCACAAAGTGATTGACAGGAGTGTATGAATTCCTAGTTCAGGTTTTGCACTTAATGATTGGATTGGCATTTAGTGAATTAGTGACTAAAGCAGCTGCTTTAATCACTTTTTTAACTAAGAAATGCATTTTGAGCTTTTGTTGTATTTAATTTGACAATTATTACTGAAAAAAATATTGTGTGTCTTCGAGATGCTGCTGCCATTTTATATAGCATGTTTTCTGTACTTGATTGGACAATGTCCTTAAATGCAAAAGGAATATTCCCAACCCAATTAGTCAATTGATTTACTTATTTGGTTAATTTTATGTACTCGGGTATTAAATGGAAGGGCTTTTTAATTTATTTTTTATAGCCTCAAGTTTGCGATCCAAAAGTACGCCAAAGCTGAACAAGGATGAAGATGATGATTTATGGGGTTCCATAGCAGCTCCTGCTCCAAAAACCGCAAAACAATTAAATTTGAAATCAACTGTAACTGATGAAGATGATCCCTGGGCTGCCATTGCTGCTCCTGCACCCACCACAAAGGCCAGGCCCTTATCAGGTGGCAGAGGTCGGGGAGCTAAACCTGCTGCTCCAAAATTAGGTGCTCAGCGGATAATCCGCTGAATTGTCAGAGAACAAAAGGAACGAGGAAAAATTGAATCTGTACGTTTCTTTTGTTTGTTCTGGTGGCTGGTGATCATGTTAAATACAGGAACCCATCTAATATATGAATTACATTTGTGCTTTCTTTTGGCATAATTGATTTGTAATATTCTTTTAAGGTTATCAGATAAATTATCTGCAGTAAGTGAATACGACGTCGTTTTGGGAAAAAAATCATGGTGTTTTTGTAATTTTAGTTTATTTCAGGGTTATAATAGTCTTTATATTTATAATTTTTTAAGATTTCAATACCAAAACGACGTTGTTTTGGGAATAAATACAGATAACTTATCTGTATTAACTGCAGAAACATTTTTCCCTTCTTTTAAATGTCTTGATTTTTATTTGAAGGGAAAAATATTAAGGGCAGCAACCAATGCTATTAAAACCGGTCCAGTCATTGACCCGTCGAGGTACCGGATCACTGGTTTAATCGCATGACCCATTAATTATATGCAATTGTATAATTTATATTAAAAAATTATAAACATACTCAAATATCTAAAAAAAATGATAAAAATTTCAAATATTTTAATACAAAAATAATAAATCACATATTATTATCAAATAAAAAATCAAATAAAAATATAATGATTGTGATACGGGACTCTAGGTTCAGAAAACGACATCTCTAACTATAAATTAATTCAAAATTTTATGCGCATAGTACATAATTGAGATAATATTAATGTTGTAGGTACATAACTTATGTAAGTCAATAAGCAAAAAAATATTCAAATATAGCTACTATGATTTTTTCTAAAAAAAATGAAAGTTTGGATTTTTTTTTTGGGACCGGGTCGGGTCACCGATTAACCGACCGGGTCACCGGTTTTTATGAAAATTGGCTGGGTCGCACTGGGTCACACCGATTCTGATGCATGACCAGTCCGTTGCTTTAATCGGACCAGTTATATGACCAGTTTACCAGTTCTCGGATCGACCCGACCGGATCGGTCCGCTTTTAATAACTTTCGCAACAACTGTTGAATTATTGTAAGGCAACAAGTCTGTGGTATTAGCTATATATTTTGGGGGCATGTTTACAATTATTTTTTTTTGGTGCCGAACAATTATAATGTAATTAGTTTCATATTTTGTTATAGGAAAGTTTTTTGTTATATTATTTACTTAAACTTATTCTATCCTGAATGGTTCAGATAGTGTGCAACTTGCATGCGTATTTTTGGTAGTGTGCTATACTGATGCATATGTACGCCAACTGAAAGCTTCTTAAAGGCAAGAAAAACTTATTAAAGATGTTACTTGGTAAGGGTGCACAAAAGTTCAGCATTTAGCGAATCGCTCGAGCTCAAGAAGGCTCGACCCAACTTGGCCTGTCCCGTCCAAAGAACCAGGGCTTACAGATTGAGCAGTAGTTTTAGAGCCCGTTTGTTTACACTTCTGAAAAAAGTAACTTTTATCTCTTTCTTATTTTAGAAGTCTTTTTTACAAAAGTTAGAGTTATTTATATTTTTATAAAAATATTTAGTTTTTGAAAAAAATATTTGGCTTTTGACTTCTGCTTTTTTTAGAAGTTAAAATGTTTAGCTTCTGGAAAAAGTAGGTTTTTGACTTTTTTGTGACTTCTATTTTTTTAAAAGCAGACATCCAAATGAACTAAAACTGAGAAGTGCTTTTTGTAAGAAAAAAAAGCTCATCCAAACGGGCCCTTACTGGTGTTAGATAATAAGGATTTGCATTTATCATTTAACATGATATAAGAAAGTTTCCTACACATATAACGTTTTATAGGGCTCACACTTTTTGAAGCAAAAATAAAGAAAAAAAATTACGACACGTAAAACGAATTTCTATAACATTACACAATCACTTTTCCTACGATATAACTCTTATAAAATCTTATATAATATATCAGAAGACTGGTTATATAGCGAGAGATTTGATCCTTCAGTTTACCATTTTTCTCTACCTTTTTATTAACCCTATTTCTTACTTCTTGTGAATAAGAAATAACCAACTGCAATTGGTCACCTTATAACATGAATTAAAGTCACGAACTTTAGTTATGATTTCATTAATATTGTGTATAACCGTCTAGCAAGGGAAGAAAAAGCTCACATGGATGAAAGATCATTTGAATTTTTAAATCTATACATAATAATAAATATTTTGCCCAATTCATTCATCCATCAACTTAGACATAATACTCCGTTTATACTTTATAATACATATATTTGTACAAATTTCTCATATACAACTTTGAGTGCCGTCTCTAATGCTCTACAAAATTATAATAAAAAAGCTGATCTGAACCGCACAATAATAACAAAAATTTTCCTCCAAAATTATGTGCTCTATTTCTATCGCATTAAGTTTTATCAATACTGAATAAAAATATAGAGGAACAGTGACTTCAACAAATTATTTACCAGACTGCCACGCCAACCTAAAAAATTTTAGAATGCCATGCGGCATAATTTGCTACATGCAGCGAAATATGTTTGCAAATAATTCGTTACACAGTGTCATGAATTATGTCATGTTAGGCTGCACAGTCAGCAAAAATGACACGTGTCAAGCAGGCAATAATTCGCTACACTGTGTAGTGAATTATGCTTGTATTGCTGCCTACTTGACACTGTTATTTTTTCTGACTGTGCAGCCTGACATGGCATAATTCGCTACACTGTGTAGCGAATTATTTGCAAACATATTTCGCTGCACAGTATAGCGAATTATGCCGCGTGACGTTCCAAATTTTTTTACTGTTGGCATGGCAGTCTGATAAATAATTTGACCAGACGTGACAAAATAGTTACTGTTCCAAATATAAAAGCGTAAATATCTACATTAACAGAATAAAATCCAACTCACGAATCTGGTGGAGTAAAATTTTACTCGAGGAGCATCTCCATCCTTAGATCTATGTAAGTCTCACATACTACGTGACATCTAATCGTGAATTTTTTTTTGGAGAGTTTTCTTCGTCCAGAAACATGTAAGAATGTTTCGTCAATATGGTATATGGTAAGACGATGAGGTTGTGTGTGCAGAAGAATTAATAAGTTGATTCTAAATTATTAAAACATTAAGGTTCGTTTGGATAAATCACATAAAAAATATTTTTAAATAAAAAATATTTTTAATTAAAAAATTTATTTAGATATTAAAATTAATAAACACTTTTTATATATGAAATTACCGGATATGTGATTATAGTAAAGTGAAGTGGTTGGAGTGGGTCGGGGTAAAATTGATTTTTTCAAAAATTATTTAATTTTTAACCTCTGTTTTTTTTAAAAGCAAGAAATCTGACTTCTAAAAAAGAAATTAGTTTAACTTTTTTTTTTAAGTTTTTATCCAAACACATAAAATTCTTCATATTTTTTTTTTATAAAAAAAAGCAACTTTTTTAAGAAAATAAACTCATCCAAATGCACAATAAATTAGTCACATTTATTCACAGACTAAATTAATTCAATATATTTACCAAAATAAAATAAAATTAATTCAATATATAAAACGAAAAAATATTTTTTCATATTATGGAAGATTTATTCTTTTCTATTAGTGATTTTTTGATTTTCATGTAATAATTTTTTTTCTTTTGTTTTTAATGGAAATTCATATAAAATTTAAAGAATAAATTGTATGTTCCAAAAGATATTGCTGAAAAATTTCTAAAAAGTTTCACTTTTAAAATAACATTATCTTATTTTTACAGTTATGATAAGGGGATAAAAAAAAACTTTAGAGAAGTACGAACAAATGGCATTTGGTTATAGAATAGGAATAACCAAAAGGATATATTTATGTGTTTTGAGATAAAATCATTAAAAAAGAAAAAGGTGGTGGGTAACTCAAACACGCACGCAGCCATCGATTGAGCAAATCCGAAGTTGAAGTGCGAGTTCGAATGTTTCAAATTTTGTAAACCCTAACCTAAAGCCTTTGACTTTGTTCAATTCTTCAATATGAGTATGACCCAATTCGCCATGGTATGCTTTTTCGATTCTCTTTCTTTTTCGGATTATGCTCTGATGAATTTCAATTTCGTACTGTCATGCCCTCTCTCTTTCTGGGTATTAAGTTCTTTTATTCGTAGCAAATTGCATTGTTTAATGTGTAGTTACTAAAGCCAGAACCCTACGCTGAGTTTTATGACCAAGGATGTTCCTTTATTTCATGTTAATTGAAGGTTTTGATTAGGGTCAAATGTTTGCGTGATGAAATTTTGTTTGGTGTCAATTTCAACTGGCTTAGCACTAAAGAAGCATCTTTTAGAAGGACCTATGTCATGTGTTTATTGGGTCTTAATGACAATGTTTTTATATTTCAGGTTGAGGAATTGGCTTTTCTTGTTAAGGACAATCTTCCTTGCAAGCATCTAGTTCTCACAATGGAAGAAGCCTTAATTAACTTTCTTCAGGATGATGACACAAGGTAACATTTATGAGACGGTTTTTGAGTAGTGTTTAACTGAAAATATTTTCAGTAGTACTAGTACATCACTCATTTAAAAATGAAAAAAAAGAAAAGAAAAAGAAACACCTACCACCATTTATCCTACACTATCCTTTATTTGAGTCCTACTACAGGAGCACTGAAAATATACTCCTGTTTAACCTGATTATTAGTCCAAGACATCACTATGGTTCTTGAAGTTAAAGGTTTAGTTAATGTAACTACTAGTGTTGTACTTGTCTCTAACGTGGTCATAGACAAATTTGAACAGTCAACGTTTTAGTATCACAGTTTGCTTATTAAATTCAAAACTATGTTGTTCATTCATCTCTTACTCAGTGTCACTTGGTTAATATAAATTGTCTTATGGCATTGGTTAATGTGTAAAGAAGGGGCTTTTGCAGAGCGGCTCTAAGTTTTGTTGGTCATTTATAGCATCCGATTGTAGCTGGTTTTTGTGGCAGTTGAACATATACATGTTCTGTGTTAAATAGTCGTTTTATAAAAGTTCAGAGTTTTTTTTTTTTCCTGTACTGCATAAGATTTTTCTTAATATCTGTTTTTATTGAACTATAGTTCAGACGGGATCTTGGAATTGGAGCCAATGAACTCTTACAATCGCCTTCTCTTGCATCGCCTTGCTGAGATATTTGGGTATTTTTCTTATGAATTTTATTTTTTGCTAGTCCTTGTCAAAGGTCCTTTCTGGTTTCATTTTAAATCTGCATCTACTTTCCTTTGTTTGATAGTTTTATAACTGATGCCAGGTTTGCACATGAATCTGTTGGTGAAGGAGATGATCGCCATCTGATTCTGGAGAGATGTCCAGATACATCTATGTAAATGAACTTTCATCTTTTATTTCTCCTGGCCCTTTTTATATCAAGCCTAATTTGGATTACTTTATTTTTTTAGTAATTCAGCAATTTTTTAAGGTTTCTTTTACGAAATAACTGTTATATATGGATGGATTACAGACCTCCAATCCTTGTTAGTGATATCCTATGGAAGTATGATGAACCTCAATCTTTGATTACGTCACACCAAATATTAAGGAGGAAAGAAGCCTCTCCAGGTAATACATACTACTGATTCTTCTTCTCTCTGTCAGTCATTTTAGTACATAGCTATAACAGCTTACTATTTTCTTGTAGTAAAAGACATAGCATAGCATATAACATGTTGTAAATGAGATTCACAGTTTTCTATTTTATTTAAAGACTTGGAAAAATACTGTGTGAAAGATTTATGATAGATGCGTTACTGAAAATTATTGTTATTTTCTATAGAGAAGTGTATGTTTCTATTATCTCTTTATTATTATTATTAGACTTTGCACTACTGTGTTGTAGTGTAACATGCATATGACATTTAGATGACATAAAATTATTTCCTATAATGTCTATGATGCATGAATATGAACATATGATACAGAACGTGGGTTTGGTAACATAGATATAGGAACAAAGCAATTGTTTTAAGAAATAGGATACAGTATTGATGGTATAGAGATCACAGAAATCCATAAAAAATTACAAAAATAACACAAAAACACTTATGCTTAAAAGTAAAACACCACTGCATCAGTTATTAGACTTGTAGTAAAGCTAGAATAGAAATAGAATACTGATGTAGAAGTAAATGTGAACTGACAAATGAGAGGCATATGAACACCCAGCAAACATATACTGACAGATGAGAGCACTACACTGATGACAATTTTGTTTGCAGATGCGTATAGGAGTGACAACTTGTGTATAATAAACTTAATAAGTTCATATGGAAAATAGTGATTTTCGTAATGACTTCTTACAATTTTTTATGATGTGAATACTTGCACTGTTTTATGGGCCTTAATTTTGTGTTGCATTTTTTAGTCTCAGAGACAAACACAGCATCCTTTCAGCAGTCACTGGAGGAGAGAAAAGCAGCTTATTTAGTTGCTCGTGAGCGAATTTTCTCTATGAATTTGGAAGATGAAAAAGAGCCTGGTGAACAAAAGCCACGAAGTGTGCCTGTGGTTGCCCGTAGAATGATTGCACATGCATTGGGTCAAAGAATCCATACAAAGAATCAGAATGACTTGGCTACTGATAGTATGAAGGATAGAGTGCTCACAGATGAATTAAATGACCAAGATAAGAATTGTGAAGTGTCCAATCTCACAAAAGATTCTGAAGAGTCCTTACACCAGAGAAAAAACTTAAACAGCGGAATAAGAAACACTAGCAGTTCTAATGCAGCCTCACTTAATAAAAGGAATGATCAAACACCAGTTGACAAAGATTTGCCACAATTCTCTCAAGATGGAAAACGAGGACAAAGTGTAAGTAAAGACTACATGAAGAAGGAGAACTTAGGAGCTGCAAAGAGAATGTTTGCTCATGCTTTGGGAGTACCCTCTGGGAAGGATGGTTCTGTTTCTAGAAATAGAAGTGGAGAAATAAAAAAGAATTAGCACAGAAGGTTATGAAATCTTTAAAGCCGAATGATATTCTGTTGCTCCAAATGGACCTTGGCAGGTGCTCCGCAGGTTTCAATAACAATCACGGAGATGAGTAATGAACATGCTATCCTCAAAATTCTGATAAATTATTCACAGGAGATTCGTGCAAAAGACTATACTAGAATCATGTTGGTTGCTTAGTTCTTCCCTGTTTGTGTTGGAGTAACTTGACTAGCAGCCCCAATCAAAAGGCATCCAGAAAGAACTATCCAGAATCATGGTTGACCTGTTTTAGCTATGGACGAAGCTGAGTGAATAGGTTGTGGTGTTTTGGCCTGTCATCTAAATGTTGTAAGACGTGCAATTCCAGTGTGTTTATTTTATTCTGTCAACATGTAGGTTTTCATTATAGCTGTTCCCCAAGGCCAGGGGCAAGTACGTGATTTCCCTATCATGGAGGGTGTTATGTATGGTATTTAAAATCATAAGTTTGTTGAGTTTATCTTGTTTAGAAAAATTCCAAATGTCTTCTTGTTCCCCTTTTCCTTTTGCTGTAACAATTGCGTTATTTGTTTCAGAATCTTAGAGGTAATGAATCATATGTTTTTCTGTTTACTGTTAAGATAAACAAATGCTTAACGAAGCAGCTTTCAAGGATGTTCATGGGATTTGGAATCATATCAGCATTTACAAAAGAAGCAACCATATAATTTTATTATTCCTCCCTCGCCTTCGTGTTTGTTGGTTCTTCCACGGTTCTTCTTCTCGAAGTTAATGTAATCATCAAGAGAGGTGGCGGCATTATAAGTTATTAAACGAAACAAAAGTCAAAAATAATTTGAACATATCTGTATATGATAAAAAAAAAGAAGAGATTTATCGTCTGGAATACCATATAAAATGCTAAGAAAACAAACTTTTGTGAACAGTGAGATGCACATCAAAATCAAAGATAGCGAAACTTAAATGTGTGTAAAAGCACAAATAATATGACTACTAAAAATCTGTTAAACCTAATGATAGTGAATAATGAAAAGTTAACCCCCTCTTGTTCTTGATGCGTGCACTTTTTTTTACAATTTTTTTTTTTTTTGATATTTTTATCCACATGGGAAGTCAATCATTGGAATAAACACGGAAATTTTAGAAAGCGCGCAAGCGGAAAATGGTGTGTTTGAGTGGGAAATGGAGGTTACTGTCGGGGCAGGGGCGGTTATCAACACCATTTAATGCTCACTTTGTTGTGATTTTTGTGCATGTATGTAAATTATTCAAAGATTCATATACATGATAGGAACTGTGAAGTATAAATTTCCAACATATAAATACCAAGGAGCACAAGTATTCACCCCAAAATATATTACACTGGCTGTTGAATATAACTTGCAACTATTAATTAGCATTGCCTGATTTATATTACAAGTCCCCGGTTCAACGTATCTGGCAAACTCAGCAACCCGTTAGGAGTTCTCAGGGAGTCTTGCAACAGCAGCTGTGTATTTTAGAACAGCATAAAATAAAAACAAAGAAGGGCCATGGCCAACAGCAACGTGTTTGACCAACATTATCCATCACATCTCCATGTCTTCAAGATCGGGGAGAGGAAACCGAAGAATTGCAGCAATGCCACTTAACTGTGCTAGCTCTGTCCAATTGGAAAATTAAATTTAAACAATAGAAAATTAGAACATAAATGCTTGAACAATAGTTTTATTTACTTGCACGCTACTGCTACCACAACAAAAAGAGGGAAGGAGAAAAAAGGAAAATCTTTAGTTCATCTATTATCATCCTAATACTTCTAACTTGCTTTTCAATTATACACAGGTTCTCAGTTCATGGGGTTCTAAGATAAATATTGCACACTCCATCCACCCAAGAAAAAATGCAAAGAATAAAGAAAATAATAAACTTACGTTCTCCAGAGACATGCATGGATGAAAATATATGGACAGAGCCTCCTGATTGTCTAACTGAGTTGACCAAGTTAACAAACCTTTGTCTTGCTGTTATATCTGAACTCCTATAATCAAAAGCATGTAGATATATTGAAGTCACAATTATCTATCGCAGCATCAAAAGGAGCATTTTCTGGATTGCAACCCAAATCCCAAGCTAACAAATGGGATGATAAAGAAATCGCAAAGATAAAGTTCAGTTACCATGATACTATAATAGCTCAGAACCAAAATATATTTCTATTTTTTATAGTAGACAACAAATTTTAAGTTAATGGAAGTAGTTTACAAAGATGTTTGATCTAAACCATTTCCAAGGATGTAACGGAGATAAGACACATGACTGAAATAAACAAATATGCAGTATACAACAATGTGAAAGTATGTCCAAATCAGATAGAACAGTCTAGCATGTTATCTTTGATTCAGAATATCTTAGGGCTATAACATACCTGAAAAGATCATCTGTAATAAGAAGAGTTTGCACTGCTAGTCGTTCATTGGCAACCTCAACATGTTTCATTCCATAAAAAGCACGTGATGGATCCTGTCCCAACCCGAAAATATTCAATCAGGATTTTCTAGAATTCTGCAAAGGCAATATGTAGGTAGCTATTTCACAGCTCTGGTGTGACAATCAGTTTAAGGGAGAAACAAGAGCTACTTCCTTAGGGCTTTTGAATTCTCTTTTTTGCAAAAAATTACATCAATAGTACGAATGTACACAAGAAAGAATACTTATTATAGTACAGGTCAAATGAGGGTGTTTTATCTTATACAGTGCCCATCCAGTACTTAACAAAGAACAATCATTATAGAGTAAATACCCTTTTGGGTCCCTAACAAAAAACACGGTCCCCACTTTAGTCCCTTACAAAAGTAAATTAGTCAGTTAGTCCCTAACAAATCCAAAGTGGACCCATTTTAGTCCTTTTGAGGGACTAATATGGGTCTTTTTTGAATTTGTGAGGAACCACGATTTCAACTAAATTGGTCCACTTTGAATTTGTTAGGGACTAACTGACTAATTTATTTTTGTAAGGGACTAAAATGGGGACCGTATTTTTTGTTAGGGACCAAAAAGGGTATTTACTCGTCATTATATAAAACACAAGCTTAATAAGGGTTTCTCCAATAATGAACTGCACAACTTTAACAGACATCATGAAATTAAACAATTTGGGACAAAGAGTAAAAACATCTGACATCATATTTTCCTGCATACAATAAAGTCAAACCTAGGAGGCACAAATACTTTAAAATGACTGTAGTACTGGTGTTCAATATGTATCTGATACAGATACCTTACATGATACTCGAATACTTGATAAATGTTAGTTTATAACGTATTGCAATGACTAAGCTGGAAAAAAATTTCTCCTTCACTCATGGAGTAGACTGCTATAGTGTTGTTCTATTTATGAGGTCTTATGATGCTTTCATATGGTTTTTGACGTTCTATAAGATGATATACATAATTTTTTATATATATTTAATGTCATATCCTACCATACATGTATCCTAGTTTATTAACATAATTCTTATCCCCACATCATCTCGGTATCATATCCAAAACTTGTACCCATATCCGTATCTACGTATGATACATCTAATCCTAATATTCCATACTCAAAATAAACAGTTACATGAACTTGAAGCAGCTCTTCCACGCTCATAAGGGAAAAAATTACCCCCATATAGTTTTGAGATAATGTTTTATCTTTGATTAAAAAAATTGTGGAATTTGAGTTATAAACACTTACGAACAAATTAGAATGAAAAACGAAAAGGAAATTTCAAGGAAGATGTATTTCTCTTAAGTAGCTTTAATCAAGTACGCATCTAAAAGACATTAAGGCAATTAATCATGCAACTGACTGAAAGATCAATATTCTTCTTTTAGACATGATATGATTATGAGCAAATAAAAGTTAAACAAAAACCCTATTGATCCACCTAAATTTAGTGCCTCTCACCCATTCCATTCTTAAAAATAAATAATTCTCAAATCATTGGCAACTAGAATTTTTAAATACGGAATTTGACATTCCAACCATAAACATAAGGCAAGCCAAACAAAAGCATCTCAAAAATAGAACCTGACATTTGAAAGCATGTTGAAGAAATCCTTCAAAACTCGAACCTGAAGAAAAAGAGAGAGAATAAAGTTTGTTCCAGGATCAATAGGCAATAGGTAAACAGGATAAGGAAAATGTTCAGCAGAGCAAAATGGAAAGTAAAAAAAGTGTACTAACTACTTTGGTTTTGATGGTACCTCTTGTGCTGCCTTAGTATCTTTTATCAAATTCATGACATTTGGAGCATCCAGAACCTCCCTTAAACTATGCCTACAGATAAAAAAATTATAATGTGAAAGAGATCCGATAAATCAAACACTGCAGTACCTACAAGTGAATGAACTACGAAGTCCATCCTTAAGTTCTTCACATTCTAAATAGCGGATGTCTTTGACAGGCAGGCATATGAGATTTGGCATTCATTCAAAACATTATAGATGGAGCAGAATCAGCAGATGCAATTACCAAACTTATTTTAGTCACCATTCTCAAACAATATGTGTTCAAATACAACTTTGTTGAATCAAGTGTTAAAGACGGGCACATTATACAGCATATCACATAAGAAAAATTATTTTAAGTCAAGCTACATCTAATTGACCCGAATAATTTTTAAATGTGTCACTTAATGCTAGTTACCTTAAAAAGCTTTCATATACTCCTAAAAAGTAGTAATAGAGAAGAGAAGATGCAATTAAGAAAGCAACCATACTTGTATCCTGAGCTTGTGAGCAGAAGAATGATGCACGACTTGTTTTGAACAATTTTCAAATGTTTAACTTAATGCTAGTTACCTCACAAAGCTTTCATAAAGAGAGGAGAAGATGCAATGAAGAAAGTAACCATACTTGTATCCTGAACTTGTGTGAACAAGAATGATGCGCGACTTGTTTTCAATAATAGGTCGTAGCTGTCTTCTTTCAGCCTCCAAAAATAAGTGACGATGGAACTGATCCTGAAACAGAAATAGAGACATAAAATATAAGTATAATAAACACTTTATAAAAATCCTGTCTAACCATATGCATGTACAAATCATTAAACATAAATATATTTATTATTGATATATATATATATAATTTGTAAATGCTCACTAAGAATGAAGCCAAATAAAACGAACAGGGAATAGTTATGTACCTTTGTAAATCCTGGACTTGCAATCGCAGCACAACGAACCACGTTAAAATCTATATGTTTCAAGAAAGCCTGAAACAAATATTGGTAAAATCCATTAAACTTGTAAATGCCCCTTTTACACTTTTGTTGGATAAAAGAAGAAATATAATATTATTAAAGAGAAGAAAGAAAGAATACAACAAAAGATGAGGATATGATTTCCTCTGAAGCAAAGGACAAAGAAACAAAGACAGACAAAATCATTTATACAATAGAGATATTTGATACACGGGCATCCTCATCCAGGCATCTAATGTTACTGGATTATGCATATATTGGATTCTTGAGCAAGATGCCCAAGTTAGGTACATGGATATGATATCAGCACAGGCATCTCACATTACCATGGGTATGGAAGTGTCAGTAAGAAAGAATGAGGAGCCATTTCGGAGCTAGAGCCACACATAACACACATCAGGTTATAGAGCTATGAGGGGTATTTGATTTTGCAGCATATCATTAGCAGTAGTTCTATAAATTTAATAAATCCCTTTTGATTGAAAAAGGAGTTTTATAAATCATAGTAAACCCATTTTAAATTTTATATATTCCATATATATCACTAATGAGAATAAATGCTAAACATAAGAATTATAAGTCCTTGTGCTCAATTTACCTGCAAAACATTCTCAAAGAACTTATTCAAAGCCTGCAAAACGGAGGATAATGCTTTAGAATCATGACACCCAAGTTGCTGAATTCATTCACTAACAAATCACTCCAATAGAGAGAGAGACAACATACTGACTCATAACCAGCAATAGCAGGCCCATGCTTGCGAGGAATTGAAGTTTCTATCCGTGAACGTGTAACAGTCACACTGTTTAATCAGTCGTAATAAGATGAATCATTTCATTGCGATGACAAAATTACACGTCAAAAGTTAACTAGAATGTCAACAAGAAGAACATCTATTTAATATACAGAGTTTGCGGTTCCCGGCACAAAAATCAAATACACCTCAAACCAACCGTCCTACTATTATAGAATGCTGACCAAGTAGTCTAAATATCTTCTGTATAAAATGCTATTATAAGTAATGTATATATCAAACCCATTTCAAATGAAAGTTACTAGTACCTTCTACCAACAAGGAGGATATGGGCTAATCCTTCTTGCATCAACACAACAGCTAGATCAGCACTTGCACCAGGATCTGCAAAATATGCATGGAGTTTTAATTTACCATATTGATTACCAAGATTTACAGTTTTACAAAAACAATCATACTACGATCTGATCAGAAGATGATTATGACTTCCATGTTGCTTAGTAAATATGAATGAGATTTCCACCATTTGCCTTACAATGCGTACTTAAATGGGAAAAATGCCTATTTCAACATTTTGATCATAGGTACATTTGTCAGGTCCAATGTCAGGAAAAATGAATAGACAGGCTGATATTTGTACTGTTAAAGAAATATCTTCAAATTAGCAGTTACTGAAATTCCCTTGCAAACTGGTTACACTAACTTTCAATTCCCATAAGTATAAATGTCTATTATAAAATTGGCAGACTCAGATAACTGATAACATACCGGTGGCCTGCTGCAGTACCTCCAAAGCCAAAGAATCCCAAACGTCCTACAAAAGGCAAATCCTAATATTCAGAGATCATGATTATTCAAAAGAGGGGAAAATATTATGAGTGATTTTCTTAAATATTCCACTTCCCTAATTTATTTATTTTTCTTTCTATTTTTTCCGTGTTATATGCATAATTCTTATACGCAAGCAAAAGATCTAGCTTTTATGTATGTGAAGCACGCATATAACAACATAAAAGGAACAATAACAGGAAGCATAATGATTTAAGAGAATACCTTTCTGAGCACAAAAGGTCGCTGTAGATCGAGTTCTAAAGTATGGAATGCTCCTATCTGCAGTGAGTGTGAGTGACAGTGAGTTACAAAGATAAAAACTTCAATTTAGCAGTAACAGTTTGGGGTTAGAATTGAGATGGCAGTTGCAGTTAACACTACCTTGACATATTCATTCTCTAAAATGTTCTTGCCGCGAACACGTAAAACAGAACCTTCTTTGTCATAATCTGCAATCTGGAAAGAATAGAGATAAGACAAGACTCATAAAAAAGTAAATTGAAACCCTATTGTAACATGACACGTGAGATGAGAGAAAGTACCTCTTCAACTCTAATTTCCAATTTGAGCTTGACACGTTCCGCTTCTCGTCCGCCAGAAGCTACTTCTCTAAGAACCTTCCTATTACAACAAGTAACGAGTTCAACGAATACGAAAATGAGAAAATTCTCCAATCCACGCATTCAGAAAGAGTCTGTGCCTGTGTTGAGTACCTGACTGTAACAGCCATGACAGAGTCTCCTGGAGCTATCAAGTTATATGCATACCATAGATCATCCGAATCCACTGGCACCATCTGCATATCAAAACCGTAACCAACAAATTTGTTGTTTTTTTAAAAAAAAAAAAAAAAAAAAAACGAATCAACGAGACTATATAGAATTGGAATTGCACCTTAACGCTACCAGGTCCATTCCGTACGAGATCTCTCCGAACGATTCTCATGCCTATTGCTAACTGCTACCAACTTCCCCTCTTTTCCTCTTCCTCTTCCTCTTTATTCATTCAAAGTTGAAACTTGAAACTACAGCCAAGAATAAACAGGGTCATAGAGCAGCAAGCACGTGACCTGCACCTGCTCCTATCCCTAAACAAAGTCCTTCCCTGGCCCAATCCCTTTTTGCAATGAGATCCAAGTAATACCAGTCCACGACCCAACAAAAACAAATAAACAAGAGAGGTACATTGGCTTACCCAACATAATATATATATATATATATATATATATAGAGGTAGGATCTTTTGACACCAGTGTCGAATTTGAAATTTAACACCTCATCTGTGAGCCGTTAGATAAAAAAAGATCAATGTTGATCTTTTTTGATTGATCTTTTTTTATCTAACGGCTCACAGATGAGGTGTCAAATTTCAAATTCGACACCGTCAAAGGATCATACCTCATATATATATATATATATATATATATATATATATATTAGGATCCTTTGACACCAATGTCAAATTTGAAGTTTGACACTGATGTCAAAAGATCCTACCTCATATATATATATATATATATATATATATATATATATATATATATATATATATGGCAAAATGACCTACAGCTAGCCAGGATCCGCGTGCAGATCCTAGGATACGGCATCGGATCCTTGTTTTTTTTTTTTTTAAATGTCGTGGGGCCCACTTTTCTGTGTCAGCTGTATAGAGTGTTATCTACGGCGGCTGCAAAAATGTTAAGCCCTATATATATATATATATATATATATATATATATATATATATATATATATATACGATTCAGGATCATTTTACATCAGTGTAAGTTTGGAAATAATTTAATCTTATATTATATATATATATATATATTTATAATTTTTTAAGATTTCAATACCAAAACGACGTCGTTTTGGGAATAAATGCAGATAACTTATCTGCAGTAACTGCAGAAATATTTTTCTCATATATATATATATATATATATATATATATATATATATAGGGACAAGATCAACTTACACCGGTGTAAGAATAATAAGTCTTACATCAAATCTTAATCGTTGATTTCAGTGCATCTAACGGTTGAGATTCATTGGAACTAGGGGTGGTAAACGAGCCAGGGGCCTTTCAGGGGCCTTTGGCTCGGCTCGTAAAGGCCTGAGCTCGTTTAATAAAAGCTTGTGTTGGAACCAGGCTTAGACTTGTATAAAAGCTCGTTTAATAAAAAGGCCTCAGGCTCTAATTCAGAAGCTTGGCCTTAGAGCGTCCCAGGCTAGCCTAGTATATAAATATTTATTTATACTTTTTATACTACTTGTAATAACTCTCTCTCATCAATTTATTTCACCCCATTTTATTGGTTTAACAGACTTTTTGAATGATTTTGTTCTATATTATGCTATTTGGATATATATTGAATTTATGTATATTTATGGAATTACTAGTGATGTTCTATATTATCCTTCATCCTCCTTCACACAAACAAACCCACAAAAACTCATTCGTTCCACTGTGCACTGCTCGTTTGTGTTAATTTATTTTTTATTTATTTTATTTTATTTTTATTTTTATTTTTGTTGGCACTTTTTTTATAATGGGCTAAGATAATATAACCTGTTATCTACCTTCTCTCACTTTAATTTTGTTTATTTATTGTAGACTTTGTAAATTATTGCTGCAAATTGAAAGCTAAGGTTTCTATCTGGAAATTGATTTTTTGTGGAATTCTGTTCTCTTATTTTTATTCTTTAACATGCTAACAGGCTTCGCACAGGCTTTTATTTTTTGTAAATAAACCAGGCCACATGCCAATATTATATTCGTAACAGGTAACAGGCTAAGGCCAGTCGGACACGTTTAAATACAGGCTTGGCTCGTTAAGATCAAAGCTCAGCTCGGCTCGGCCCGTTAACACACCTAATTGGAACCACTCATTAATTAATTTTTAATTATTAATAAATTATAACCGTTGGATGCACGAAAATCAACGGTTAAGATTTGGTGTAAGATTTATTATTCTTACACCGGTGTAAGATGATCGTGCCCTATATATATATATATATATATATATATATATATATATATATATATATATGGCTTACAACTTCTCATATTGCATGAGAAGTTTTCCTATAGATAGAGAAAGGGATAGGGTCCACCTTGAAGAAAAAAATAAAAAATAAAAAAGTGGTTGGCATGGACAATGAAGTAAGAGTGGTAGGAAAAGAGACTTCATGATAAGTCCTTTTTCGGTATATATACGTAGAAATAATATTTCTCAAGCTGCTTGAGATATGTTTATCTTTGGCTACCCCAAAACTACGTCGTTTTGTTTATTTATTTTCTTATATTAATTGATTCACCTTTGAATGGTTATGATTCTCTTTTTCTCTCTCTTCTTTATCACCGTTGATCCATCTTTGTATGATTATGATTTAGTAGCCGGAAATAACATTATCTCAAGCAGCTTGAGAAACGATAAGCCATATATATATATATATATATATATATATATATATATATATATATATATATATATATATATATAAGGACATGTTATTCTACCTACTTCTTTTTTCTACCTACGTCTGTCTATCACTCTCCAACACCATTAGATCAGAATCTCAATAAGAGAGAAAAATGATAAAATAATGTTTGAGATTCTGATCCAACGGTGTTGGACAGTGGTAAACAAAGGTAGGTAAAAAAAAAAGTAGGTAGAATAACTTATCCCATATACATATATATATATATATATATATACACATATATATATATATATAGGGTTTATATTTTTGCAGCTGCTGTACGTGCAACAATCAAATACTTCTTACCATACATATGCTTGTATGCATTAAATGCAGGAAATCATAATCATACAATGAATGAAAGCATTACATGTGGGGAATCATAACCATACACATGTCATTGTTGTACGTAAAGCGGCTGCAGAAATGATTTTTTGTTTTTTTTTAGTAAACCCAAGGGTATCCCCACCCCTTCGCGATGAAACTAATCCCTTCTGTGGATTGAAGCGGTATAGGACTCTCCACTGGCCCCAAAGTGCGTCTCGCAGGATTCGAACTCCAAGCCCTTTAGACTCACGAGCCCGATACCTCGAGCTCAACATGCTACCAACTGAGCTACACCCCGGGGTTACCTATATATGAGTTGCAGAAATGATTTTATCTCTCTCTCTCTCTATATATATATATATATATATATATATATATATATATATATATGAGGTAGGATCATTTGACACCGGTGTTGAATTTGAAATTTGACACCTCATATGAGATCCGTTAGATCAAAAAAGATCAATGATATCACATGTTTACAAATCAGAGTCGTTGATTTTTTTTTTATCTAACGGCTCTCAGATAAGGTGTCAAACTTCAAATTTGACACCGGTTCAAAAGATCCTACCTCTCTATATATATATATATATATATATATATATATATATATATATATGATTTATTTTTATTTAGATGAAACTAATTAATGCTTGGATACATATTTGAATGCTGCATGCAAAAGAAAGCGTGGTATTCTGAATTCCCTGCAGCTGTCATTCCTCTCTTTCTAGCACGTGTCATCAGAAACCACATATGAATGATGAAGCAACATTTCTTCACCAAAATGAATTAATTAATAAATGGATTTGGCCATGCCAGAGTACTGAAGGTGAAGCATACTCTTTGAAATTTCAAGCTTATTTTTATGTTCGGTTCAGGTAAAGTTCTAATTCGGCTTCTTCTTATGTTTTCCTTCTTCCCTTCATTATTCTCTTTTCAAACAATTTTCACTCTATTGACTTAATCCAATTGCTGATGCTGTTGCAAGTTGTAACATACACACATAGATAGAGAAAGAACGAGTTTGCTTCAACTTTGGATGGTATTGGTATATATATTTATATAGGTTGGAAATGGAAGAAGTAGAAGATGAAGAGAATGGTGGCAAGGTGAGGTGGGTGTTCAACAGAGGACTCACGCTGGGAAAGAAGATCTTAGTGGCTGGTTTCGTAATGTCTTCTGCACCGTTGGTTCTTCCACCTCTTCTTATTGCTTCTGCTATTGGCCTTGCTGTTTCTATGCCTTATGCCTTCTTCTTGGCGAGCCATGCTTGCACTCAGAATTTGATGAGTAAGTTGATCCCTAGGCCTACTCCTCAGTATCCTCTGCATCTTAAAAAGGGGTGTTTTCAGCCAGATATTGATATAATACACATAAGCAAAGTGGAACAAGGCCTCGGAGATGAAACTAAGAGAGGCACTGCTATGGTTTCTGTTCAATATATGGCTAATAAGAAAAATATGACATCGGAAAATGACTATGGACAAGGGGTTGTGAAGAAGGAGGATGAGCCAGAACTGTCACATTCGCAAGATGCCACTGATGTCATCCAACACAATGGCTTTAAGGAAGAAAGTAGTGACCATTTCAGTGATGATGGAATGGAAGGACACCTAAGAGGAGAAAGTAATGGGGAGCAACCAATGAGTGAGGGCCATGGAGTAGTAACAATAATTGAGAGCCTTGATAAGATTGGCAATGAAATTGAAGAATTTAAGACACCCTTTGAGGTCACAACAGTTGTTTCAGGGGAATTTCGGGATCAGGCCATAGAAGGTGACATGGAGGAATCAGATTTACATAGAGAAACAAAGGGGCTGTTAGAAAAAATTAGAGATGAGGGTAGGACTGATAGGAGAGGAGAACATGTAAAAGGAATCCGTGGAGGGACAAATGAAAGTGACCAAAAAAATGGTTCAGGTGTTGAAAATACAGGGGTAGCATGGGAAGACAAACCCCATTGCATCATTGGGGTGACTGAAGGAGATGTGAGAAAGGAAGAAGCTCCAAAAGTATGTGAGGAGGTGCTTCAGTCAAGAAATGATGAAAATAAGAATACTATCTGCAATGAAGTAGAATCAGGTGAACCTATAAGAGGTTTAGTAGAAGGAAAAAAAGTTGATCATGCAAATGACTCACAGAAGCCACTGGCTGAGACTATTCCAGATGAAGAAGTTGGAGATCTG